CCGAACCAGACCTAAAATTCTGGTTCGGTTTACCCAGGCGCTCGCCCGAAGCGCCCAGCGCCTGGGCTCGGGCGAGCGCCCAGGCGACGCCTGATTGAAGCGCGCCGCCTGGGACATTAGCGAGGCGCTCGGGCCTCGCCTCGTCTCGCCCGAGCGCCTAGGCGAGCGCCCGAGCGCCTTTTGCAATCACTGCTTGGTAATGTAGTATCAAAATATTTCTGTGAGAACTTACAATGAGAGTTATCCACTAAAAGGCGGCCTGATTAGGACATTTCAAATCATTAAGAGATCAAATAGCTGAGACATTTCAGAAACAGTTACCTAAGTTAGAATTGTGAACCAACTTCTGAAAGGTTAAAATGTACTAGTACAGACATCTACTGCCACTATCATGTGGCACTAACTTGTATGACAATTAACAACTGGGCACATCACCATTGTCTTTTTTAACAATATCATTCTATTTTTTACTCATCCAGATATATAATTCTAACCTAGTGAACAAGGATAGCAAGACAAGGGAACAAAAAGAAAGAAAAATCTTGCAAAAAATAAATTGTAGGAAACAGGCAGCTTACTGTTGATTTTGAAGGTTGCTGAATTGTATAATCTTCATTCTTGTCAAAGCAGAAAGATGGATCATGCTTGATATCATTTTGGCTGATTACTTCCAAATCTGAATCTTCACTGCTTAAAGAACAAAACCTCTCAATATTTTCATGGTCTGGGTCTCGGAGTGAGTTCCGTTTTCCTAAATCTCGAGTTTCGAAAACAATGGCATTCCCTGCTTCTTCATTATTTGGAATTGTATTTACAAATATGTCATTTAAAGCTCCACAAGCTTCAGATTCAATAGCTTGTAGATCATCCCAGTCTTCCTTGTCTTGGATGGAATCGGCCAGTGCAGCAAGAAAATCATCACCACAGTGTTCCACGGTGACAAAGTCTCTACCATCCTCCCCTGCACCACAAAAGAAGGAATAATGTATCTCCAGAAAATTTCCAAAGCCTGCACTTATGAAGATAACTTCAAACACCAAAAATATAAACAGTTGCCTCTTCCGAAATATCTGCATCTTTGTATTTACATTTAGTTGTAAATTTTCATTTGGTAGTTAGGTATGATTGTGTATATTTAATTTTGAAACTAAAGGTGACATCCATGACTGAAAAGTTTGATTTTTTTGAAGTCTTGACAATAAATATGTTAGGACACTTTTTCTGAGCTTTTGAATAATGTTTATTGACTCTGTTTAGTTCAGTTAGAGTCAAGTAGAGACTTATTTAATATTTATTTATTATTAAGAGTCCCAAGTCCTGGACTCTAGGTGAAACTCTATAAATAGTGATGTAACCCTTTCTTTTGAGAATCAATCAATCAATGAAATGTTATTCCACTCTGTGGACAAACCCTAGGAGGCCGATCCCCTCGAAGCGATCAAGGAGGGCCGATCCCCTCGAAGCGATCAAGGAGGCCGATCCTCTCGAAGCGAAGAAGAAGAAGCCGCAGCCACCCCTGCTTTCCCTGCCGGACCCCTGCTTCCGGCTAGCCCACCCGCCGCTGCTGCTTCCCGGCCGACGAACCACCACCATCGCCACTGCTGCCTAGCCAACAGCCGTCGTTGTTGCCCAGCCAACCGCCGTTGTTTCTTGAGTCTATTTAGTTCAGTTATTTATTGAGTTCAGTTAGAGTCAGGTAGAGGTTTATTTAATATTTATTTATTATTAAGAGTCTAATTCTTGGACTCCAAGCGGAACTCTATAAATAGTGATGTAACCCTTTCTTTTGAGAATCAATCAATCAATGAAATGTTATTCCACTCTATGGACAAACCCTAGGAGGCCTATCCCCTCGAAGTGATCAAGGAGGACCGATCCCCTCGAAGTGATCAAGGAGGACCGATCCCCTCGAAGCGATCAAGGAGACCGATCCCCTCGAAGAGATAATTATCATTCCCTTTTCTCTCCTTTCTTCCACGATAAGACTTTAGGGTCTTATCAATTGGTATCAGAGCGACGATAAGACTTTAGAGTCTTATCAATTGGTATCAGAGCGACGATAAGACTTTAGGGTCTTATCAAAATATTAATAATGTAGCAGCTCTATGTAATCATCTAACCACGGGTTCCTCCACGCAATTTCACATGAACCAGAAACCTATCCAGCCTTGAAAGCAAACCAGCTAATTGTATCATAAATTAACTCTTTTGGAAAAATTTCACTAAGCAAAGAAGTAATCACCCACCAACGGAAGAACCCAAAGCCCACATCTCCTCTTCCCTAGGGACCGACCATATGGAGTCCTAATGTAACACATCCATCTACTCATCTAAACATGCATTCTCCCCGTCACTCAACGTGAACCAAAAGCCTCAGAAGCAAGCCAGCTAATTGTATCAAAATGAGCTCTTTCTGAAAAATTTCACTAAGCAAAGAAGTAACAACAAAAGGATGAGATTATAGAATTGCATCAGAAGTCAAAGACTAGCTTGCCAGTGAAAAACATAGTCTAGGAAAAAAAAATTAAGAACTTAGTCTACAAACTTCAGTCTTCTAAATAGTCATTACTGAAGATATAAATTTCCACTGTATGACACAAAGACTTCCAAACCACTACCAAGGACCGCCTTAATGTCTATAGGATTCTTTCTAAAAGATTAACGAACACAATTTTCTTGCAACAAGGCCTCTCGGTACTTTATAAAAATATTTGTTAATAAATTTGTGTCAAACTTACAACGGCCGCTAATCATCTAAGAGCTTATGTTTATAGATGAGTCAGAGCTTACTAATTTTATAATAAAATATATTCACTTTGTTGACGGCAATCTACAACATCATGTCGCGAAGGCCTATATATTGTTTAAATGGTGATCATGCAGACAGCGGTCCGAGAGTAATAGTGTCAAAATCTTGGAACGGGCAACAAATAGAAAATCAATATCATTCAGCAAAAACCCTACTCGAGTATCACCGATCGCATTAATGCAAGACCAATTAAATAACTAAGAGAAAATTTGTTCTTAGATCAGATCTTATGGCCATTAAGAAAAATGAATTCTCCAATCAGAATAAAAGCGAACATAATATGTCAATTCAAAAAGCACAGAACTAATAAAGATAGAAATTTTAACAAAAGAATTATTAACCAAAATACGCCACCATAGCCCTAATTTGCCGTATCAAATATATATATTACATCTCGGATTCCCAGGCCTCGGTTAGGCCAATGTGACTAAGGATCGAGCCAAAGGGAACAAGAAAGAAACAAACAACGGATCAGATTGTGTGAGCAATTCTGCCTCTGAGGTCAAAAGATAGGATCCGAATCCTCTGAGGACAGAAAGAAAAGACATCGGATGGAAGGGGGAATTAAACACAAGGGTTCGACAGAAAATCTCACCGTAGAGATCGAGGAGGCGATCCAAGCACCGATTCGCGGCAGCTTCGTCGAACCCAAACTCCAACGCTAGGCTCAGAAGCCGCGCCCTCTGCACCTCCATGTCGCACCCTCCCCGCTTTCCCTCTCTGTCGCTGCCCCCGCTCGCCCGGACGACGGGGATAAATGCGTGCAAATTTGCACGTGACTGGGCGGGAAGGTTCAGATTTGGGCGCTGCCATCGAACAAGAAACCCTAACCGTACCTATGATTGATTGATTGATCGATCGATTGATTGAGCGCTAGGTAACGACTTTAAAAGTTTAAGAACCTTCGTATGAAGGAAAAATAAGTGGGAAGCATGAGAATAGTTAATCCAAACAAATATACTAAATTTTAAATAATTAGATTTTAAAGCCTTTAAAATATGAAGAAAAAAATATTAATAATAATAATAATTTAATGATTTTATTTGGATAGGTGTCGAGCCCCTGACTTTGACGTATCAGATTCGATCTTTCAATCGGTAACTAAGCATTCTCGATGACCTATACTTATAATAGTATGGAAAATAATCGCCCCTCACTCCTCTTATAGTATTTCTTTTTTCTCCTCTCTTTCTCTCTCTATAAGCATAAGAATTTTTTATTTTTTTAATTTAGTATAAAATTTATAAGTTTTTTTTTCTTATTATTTTAAAATTATTTCAAAATATATAGCCCTATATTATTTAGACAGTCGAATGGGACTCAAGAAGCCAAATAAATTTAATATACTTTTATGTCGCTACATATTAAGAAAATGGAGCAAGTTGCATCGTAAGTTACTATAAATATTATGAAATCCCATAATCAATCTATCATTGATTAATTAATCAATTAATGACTTTTGCATATTTGAAAATTTTTGATATTTTAAAATTATATAGATGATTAAAGGTTTGGCCATTTAAAGAGTATTTTTGTGTATCATACATACTATGTAAATAGAATTGTATAAATCATGGACATATTCCGATGTTTTGAGATAGTAAAGAACAATTTCTCTGATATTATACTCTCTAATATGTATAACTGTGAATGAGTAAATATTGTTGAAAAATTAGATAATTTGAGTATGCCATGTTTTATTTGTAATAGTAAAATGGATAATAACAATACATTGACTTTCTTCATTTAGAGCTAAATATCATATACTCACGCATTGTTTTTTAACATTCCACCTTCGACTTATATCCCAAACACACAGTACAAATTTAAGCCTCAAAAAGTATTTCGTAATATGTGATGTACTGTTTTTCTTTTTTGGCTAAAACCCAAAAAACAGTGCATGGCATAGCAGGGCATAGAAAATTTACTTGAAATTTAGAAGATACCTTTGAATTGGATCGGTATGAACATATTCTAGTATCTTTTTTTTTTTTTATGTTAGAAAAAAATTTCAATATTTTTTTTTTCTGAATTATTCAGTTATATTTTTAAATTTTCATAAAAATTCATATACTATTTTTTTGACGTTTGAGTTTCCAATTAAGTCACAAACACTTGTAAAAATATGAATCTTTAGAATTAATTTTTTTATATACGATACATTATTTTTTACTAAAAATAAAAAAAAACCCTACGGTCACATAGCAATCAAAATGTTCTGAAATTTTAAAGATACATTTGCGAATCCACATCGACTTATTTCGATATTTTTATTTAAAAAAATTGTTTGATATTTTCAGTTATTTAGTTCCAACTTAATGTATTGTTTTTTTTAATTAAAAAAATTCGTGCACTCGTAATATTTTTTGATATTGGAACTTCTAATTACATAAAAAGAATAAACTTTACAAATATATTTCTTGTATCGCATAACCGAAATTATCAAAATAACATTTAAATTCTGAAACTACTTTAAGTTTGATGCACTTGAACATATTCTAAAAATTTCTATTACAAAACATGCAAAATTATCAGGATAAAAAAGATGTAATATTTTAAAGATTTATCTATTATCGGGTACAATTTAATGCAAAATAATTCTCCCAAATATCTTACGATTTGCCTTGGCAGGGGCCGCGCGTACGCGTACCCCCTCTACCACAAATTATGACGTCCACTCTCCCACTTGGGGAGATGGTAAGCCAGCGCGCCTCCCAAGTGCAATGGAAGCCGCTGACCTAGGCCATGAGCCTTCTTGATCGCCCATCGACCCCGTCCAGGTAAGTATGGAAAACAGCCGCCCCTCGCTCTTCTCTTATAACGCTCCCTCCTGTGTTCCTTCTGTGCCGTGGCGATGTGGGACTAAAACCCTCCTCACTTGGATCACGTGCCCGCCTGCCCGCAGTACCTCATCAACTCCATCTTTGAGCAATACTTGTGCATGGAGTAATGATGATAAATGACCAACTCCTAATCGTGGAGTTCCTGTGATTTTATATTTGAATCAGAAGAACATCCATTTGTCAGACTGATGCGTATTGATTGAATCAGAAGCCACTTAGATCATTGAGCAATACCTTACATACACATTGACTGTTCCAGGTTGCTTGATTGATGTTCTTAGCTTGACCGAACTGCTATTTGATCATATGCAACCTGCACCGATCAACTTAGTTCAGACAAGTTAGCTAAAAGAACATATTACAAAAACCTCAGTCCAATATCCAGGACGAATAATGTCTTCAGAAACGAGACAGCAAGCAGCTATTTATATTCTATCATACACAAGAATGCTTGAAAACACCCTACTTCGGTCCCCTAATATGGGTGATAAAATAGATACTACAACCATTTATAAGACATTCCATGCTTGAATCTTGTATATATCGTGTATAAGAATCTCTTGTTCACTTTTGGTATCAACATGGCAGCAACCACCAACCAACTTGAGATTTTTGCACCATCTGCTGCTCATTCCAACATGAGTGTTAGGTATCTTCATAATGCATCTTCGTCGAATACGGTGGAGATCACAATCTGCCTCACAAACTCACTCCTTCGAGTACTCTCTACCTGATCTTTGTATATCGGAGATGGCACAACGCTGCAAACAAGGTTTAGAAACGTTAGTCAAGGGCAGATAACATGAGCTTAAAAGATCACTAAAAAATCTCCACGGAGGTGCCATGCATTAAGACTTAATATTCTCTTCAAACTCCAATATACCAACAAAAACCATGCAAAGCTTACTTTTGCCAAAGTCATTATGGTAGTTTAGAACATACATTTTAGATCATCATAAAAGATAGTAAATAATTGATAAACACCACCGTATGCCCAAGATGGGAACTAGGAAGCTTAATTTCAAATATCTCTAACATTCCCAACAGCATCAAACAGGGCTAAGTGATTTCTGATATCAAAATATGACTAACACAGAGAAATAAAATTACCTCATTGTTCAAAGCATATGAAGTTAGCATGCATGAACTTTTTGCCAAATGTACTTGTGGCCCATAAATCTCACATTGTTTTGGTCTTTTCAGCAATATTTTATAGATAGTAGAAGAAGAATCTTTTTTTTTTTTTATCACATTTCACTTAACATGTGGCCTGAGATGTGTCCAGGTTATTCGCTAATTCCATCGATCTTAAGAGGCTAATATAAGTTTTCCTATACAGTAACCTAGCAGATTGTGTTTCCTGCATAGAAGTCCATTAACAGCCTACGATTTATGTTGGTCACTGTTTTCTTCAGAAGTCGGAACTTTGAAGCATTAACAAGACTCTATCATCTCTCTGAATACTCACATAACAAATAACTGGCCTCAGCCGACTTTCTGCAGCGAGTATTAGCCTATTATAATGATAGTTAACCTATGCCCAAGCTAATGTCCAGGAAATCAACAAAGATCAAAGATCTGTCACTAAAACTCCTAGTTCCTTAAGCAAATGATTATATCATTAATTTGAGATATTGGTTATCATCCTCACTCTTCTGGATACCCAGTAATAAAGCTCAGATGTCCCAAATAAAGAAAGCATGGTGGCACCAAATTGAAATATGACAAATAGTAGCCAATTGATTGCAGATAAATGACAAATATAGTGGTAATAGAAGATAAATGACAAATCATTGTCATGATCAGATATTTATCCATGTAAACTTTTATTGATGCATAAAAAAAAAACCTTTCTGACATCAGAGTTCAAACCAGGATATATATCTGACTGTTTGACAACAAATGGCAATATAAACATTTTGATCTAAAGTAGCATCCTAGGAAAGTTCAAACAATGAATTATAATGGAGATGAAGAGCACGGGTTGGGGATAATGATACAAAATTGCTCTGGTTGGTCACTTTGCCACTGGGAAATCAAATTTGCAAGCTAGATTTGTTGGAATGAGATCAACCCAAGTGCAAACATAACTATAACGGAACTTGTTCAGCACACTTCAAAACTAAAAAAGAATCGCTGAAGAAACCAAATAACCCAGTCATCTTATCAAACCAAAGATCTAACTTGACCAATGGAAAATGGCCAACTAATGATGAGTTCAGTCTACAACTGTAATCATGGATGATTTTTTCTCCCTTAACATAAATCAAATTACCATAAATAACGTATTACCTTATTTAAATTATTAACTTCCTTGTTTGTGTAGTATTATAGTTAAGGAAATGGTTGATATTGATTTTCTTAACCAAGTGAACAAGTTAGGAATTTGTTCAAACAATTAAATTATTAACTGATTAATTTCCTAATGAATGATGAGATTTTTAAAAAGTAAATAGTTTAAATTTTATTTTTGTGTGTGAACCATAAGAAATAAATATTACAATTCTATCTTTATGTGTGAAAGCAAGATAAAAATAAAAATTAAATTATTGCTTATCTTTCGGGGAGAGCTCATTTTCTCCTTATATAAAGAGGGCTCTCCTTCTTTCATTCCTTACTAAGCCTCATGGTAGAAGGATTGAGGAGAGGATTCCCGATGAGAGAATCCCTGAGGAGAGATAGGATCCTCTATTCTTTCCTTATCAATTTTTATTTATATTTTTAAAATTTTTGATGTTAGAATTATTATTTGTATGATGCATAATAATATTTTAATTTTAAAATATTATGATTAATAAATAATGATCATTGAATTATGATGTTAGATTGAATAATTTAAATTCATTAAATTAGACATATTTATGTTTCAAGAAATTAAGCATGAATTTTATGATTTAATTAGTTTTAATTTTGGAATCATGAATCTAAATTAGTTAATTTATGAAAAAGAATATATTTGAGGTTAATTATTATTTTATAATATTTTAAAGTACTTATGAAAATATTAAAATTTAATTTAATAAGAGAGGTCAATACGGGGTCTGACCTGAGCTAAGTTGATTGACTAGAACAGCACATGTGAACAGGTATGGTCCAACCCATATGGTTATGTATAACCTAGCCCATGTGATCAAGTATAGCTTAGCTCACGTGGTCTGGTATGATGCAACTCATAAGGCCAAGCATGACCTAGCTCATGTGGCCAAACACGATTCAACTCATGTGACCAGGCATGACCCAACCTATATAGTCAAGCATGACCCAAGTCACCCTGCGAACTAAGTGTAGCTCAGTTCAGTGGTAAGGCTCAGCCCAACTCATGAGTAAGGCCAAGCCTAGCCCGTAAAGCTAGGCTTGCCCAATTATGCGACTGACAAGAGACACACCGTCGCCTATCTATCCAGCCTATTGTACCTCAACCCAACCTGCTACTTTGGACAGACATGTGCAGCGCACGTGACCCGTCCAAGGCTCAAGTGAGTCGGTTCGACTTGGGCTAGCACTATGTGACATAATCTAATTTCTTCTCATTTTATTGGTTTGAGCTTATTAGTTGACTGAATTAAACTTGTTTGATCAGTTCAAGCCTGTTCAGGGTGATTCTAGACGAACTTGACTGGTTCTATCAATCAAATTTAAATTATATTAATCTAGGGTGATTCCAGATAGGTTCTATAAGGATTTGAGATTAGTTCTATTATGTCCTAACTAAATTGAGTTTGGTTCAAGTCAATTGGGCTATTCCAATTAGGGTTCTGGTTGATTGAAGACTATTGAAAGATTGATGTCTCATATCTTTATGATTTGATGAATATAAAAGTTTTATCTAAAGGTGTCATTTGGAAATGATTATTGGTTTTCTCTTTTTTTTAGATTAAATTGATGATATTTATGTAATTGTCACCATGTTGTCACGGCCTTAGCTGGAATTGCCTAAGGCGTGAGGCACCCTTGCGGTCAAGACGCGAACTTAGCTTGCGTTGCCTAAGTCGGGCTTCGCCCTTGCGATATTGCTCCGCAAAGATCAGCCCACTTGCAACCTCTCGCAGGTCCCGAAGGACCTGTAAAAGAGAAAGTTGATTAGTTCGAAAGAACGAGTGACGGACAAGTCCCGACGTCTCGCGAAAAGAGGGGAAGCTTTACAAGCAATTCAGCGAGCACCTTGCGTGCACAAGAGAAAAGGGGGAGAGGGGGAAAACAAGGGCATTAGAAGGTTGAACGAACAACTGCAAGCCCACAAACAGTTGCTCACCGAGTCCCGGGCGCGATAACAAGTTCCCGTCAAGGCAACGTGCGAACTTGCGAATGAGTGTTCGACGCCCGGTACTATACCGAAGCCCCATCCAGCCATGTGCCACCCAGGGGGTTCCAAGGGGCTGAGATGGCTGACGTTTTGATGAGCGAAGGCAGATTCCAGAAATCAGCCCGCGGCACACGAAAACGGAGCTGTTTTGGGGCTGGTTTGCTCGGTTCGGTGAGCGGTCGCTTTGTAACGCTGCAGCTTGTTCGAACTTACATTTTTACAAGCAAAATGACCCAAAACCAAGACAAAACATGTTGTCAAGAAGCTGTATATGTAGGTGTGAGTGATGAACGGTTCGTTGAACGGAGTTGTTGCGAGTGCGCGACGACTGTTCGTGACAATGTAGTATATATATGTGAATATGCTGAGTGGTCCACATTAGAAGTGCAACATATGAAAGAAACTATAGATCCATCATGGTGCGAAGCCACTAATGGACATAGTCTAGTAGGTCATACATCAAGCATGGTTCCTTATAATATTTTATCATACTACTTTTTCACTGCATGCATGAATGAATTGATGAATATAAATAAATGGTCATGGTTGACTATATATCTCTACTAGGGGCAAGTAGGGTAATTCCCTTCGGAGATTAGCGAGCCGTCAAACGTGACGATTAAAGAGTTCCTCCATCTGCTGTTGGAAGGAACATGTCCCCACTTGGGTGGGTGAGGGATACCACTGGATCTGCTGTTAGTGGTGCGATATAGGTTTTCTTCATCTGTTGTTGGAAGGAATCAATCTCGTAAAGTATACCTTTCCATTCGTTGTTGGGAGAGTGCATCATCAGGTGTGATGTACAACTTTGTTATTTGACTGTTATGTATGTCATCGAGATGTATTGCATGTGACTGATGCATGATTTTATTTACTACATGATGGTGTCAAGAATACTGTTGATTGATGAGTCAGCACGATTGGTCCACTACCAAAGGTGCAAGCTCCCCGGTGCCTCTTCCTGGTTAGCGTGGGAGACTTGGTGAGGTGAGACCACATAGGTTGTTCGGTCGGAAGCCATTCTGTTAGTGAGGACCCAGTTCAGGATGGTCGGGTAGGCGGACTGAGATCTTCCTGATTGCGAGGTTCCTCCCTGGGGACTGGGTCGTCTGAGTGTTTTTGGACGGCCAATGATTCTACATGACAGGCCGATGCTGAGGGTTACCCGACACGGCCCCTCCAATGCTTAAGTCAACAAAGGGGAGAAGAACAGTATGAGCTGTATAATTTAGTTAGTGTGTAGCGAGCCCTCCTTCAGCGTGAGTTGATGGGTTCCTTTTTATACCTGATCCCTGGGCCTTCTTACTAGCTGGCCTAGGATAAGATTAGGTGAACCGCCTGATTATTCTCTGATCTTGATAAGATAGGGTAGTTATTGCCGGTCATTGATGCTGGGCACATTGGGATGCATTGTGGCGCCATTTTGGGGTTAACAACTTGGAGTCCTACTTAGGTGTC